GCGTGAGAGGGGCTAACTCAATCTTTGCAGAGTATCCATACCGGCCGTATTGAAGCGTTTTTCTTCTTTTTTTTTGCTAGTGATCAGTCACCTGTACATAAGATTTTCTCGTAGCTTTAGAGCCAAGCGATGTATTCTGACAAGAATCTAGAATAATGGAAGTGGGCTTACTTTTTACTGGAGTTGCTCTTCCACTAGAAGCCGCGCAAAATCATTTGGAAAAGGATATTTCTGCTAAACAGCTCAAGCACAACTCAACAAGTTGGAGCAAAGTTACCTGTATAAATGGTGGTGATGGATGGAGTGGGAGTCGTCACAGCACCGAGCGAGGAAGAGCGATGGAGCTCGTCGTCCGCAAAGCAGTAGCAGCATTGGTGGTGAGTGTTGTTGTCACGCTTGTCCGTGTGGAAGCTCAGCTCGTTGTTGGATACTACGAGCAAAATGGATGTCCCATGGCCGAGGAGATTGTCAAGAAAGTTCTCACCGCGGCCGTGGCACGAGACCAATCCATCGCTGCTTCGTTGCTTCGTCTCCACTTCCACGACTGTTTCGTCCAGGTCCGTGATCAACTTCTGTCTCGCCTTTCATCTAGGCAGCATCGTTATCGATTTGAAAAATCCGTAGTCATTGAAAGAATTCTTGCTCACCAATCCTCGCCAACTTGATGAACAGGGCTGTGACGGGTCCGTTCTCTTGGATCCACAAAACGGCTTCCCCGCCACGGAGAAACAAGCTGTCCCAAACTTCTCGCTCCGGGGATACAACCTCGTCGACGCCATAAAGCAAGCTCTCGAACAAGCGTGTCCAGAGACTGTCTCATGTGCTGACATTCTCGCTATAGCAGCCCGAGATGCTGTTTCCCTGGTAAGAACTTTCTGCTTCGTAAGATTTCTTTCGAGAACTTGACGAAGAATGCTTACCACCAGTCTGGAGGAGGAACTTGGCCAGTGGAAACAGGACGTAGAGATGGTGTTATTTCACTCAGGACCGAAGCGGAGAACCTTCTTCCTCCCACGAACGAAAACTCTGAAGTGTTAACCCAGAGGTTCCTTGATGTTGGTCTGACTCAAGATGAGATGATCACCTTGTCCGGTAAAGTTTCATAAGTTTGCTCTCGGCCTGCCACTGATCTTCTTCCAACTTCCAGGAGCACACACGATAGGACGAGCTCACTGTGTCTCTTTCAGCCAGAGGCTCTATAACTTCAGCCCGGAGTTTGATACTGATCCGAATCTCGACGCTGCTTACGCCGGGAAACTAAAGCAGGCCTGTCCGAGGAACTTTGATCCGAGAACTGTCGTGCCGCTGGATCCTGTCACCCCTTCCCAGTTTGACAATCGCTACTACTCCAACCTCGTCAACAACATGGGGCTCATGATCTCAGATCAGACGCTCCACAGCGACATGCTCACCCAGTTTTCTTCCGAGTCAAACGCCGAGGATGAAAACATGTGGCAGTTCAAGTTCGCAAACGCCATGGTCCGGATGGGTGCTATTAACGTCAAGGCTGAAGGCGAGATTCGCAAAAACTGCCGACTGAGGAACTAGAAACTTTGGTCGCATCCGACTCTCCTGTCAAAGCACAAGAAAAAATAAAACAGGAGTTTAGATCACTGCAAGGAAACCCAAAGTCCAACATCTATACCGATAGCTTTCAGCTCTGCTACTGGAGGTGCCTGTAAAAGCGCGAAAACATCAGGCAGATCAAAGATATATAGCCTTTCTAGTGACTGTTCGTAGAAGGAAAGTTTGTGTTCCGTTTCTCAATGATAAACCAAAAAATAAAAGAACTTCCAACCTCTTTGGCGAGAATCTCTCCCTCTCTCTTTCTCTCTTTCACCAGAAAATTACGTGACTCCACTCTTCAAGAAGGAATGCACGACGTGACCTGCTAGAGAGGACCACAAAAGAGAATTATCCACCATCATCTGTTGTGCTCGTGCACATAAAAGTGCCTGCAAACAAGCCAAGAAAATAAAAGAAAGAAGGAAAAGGAGAGAGAAAGAAAGAACAAGTAAGATGGAGAATTTTCTCAGCATACCTTGGAGCGATAAAACTGTGGGAGTGCTCATTCGCAGCACGGCGCCATTGCCATTCCTAGCTCTCCAAATCATGGAATCT